GAAATGCTGAGTTTTAGCAGAGAGTGAATCGGCTGCAGGTGTCAGTAATTAGCAAAAAATGAGTCATTTGATGTTTGTAGACACACAGCCTTCTCAACTTTGATTCAAAAATAAACTTCGTGGGCACATTGTTCTGAATCACTCCTGCTAATGCATGTGTCTATCTTAATGTGGCAATTCAGTATAAATATTTTAAATAAATCAGTAACGTTGCTTTTCAGTGGCAGTACACACATGACATTTTCTGTACAAAAATGGAGTAAGGATAAAATATTTTTAGTAAGATCGGCAGAAACCTGAAAAACAGCCATACAGAAACTACTGTTTCCTTGCTCTTGCTTTTTTTCCCTCTCTCTTTCTTTTGGTTTCTTGGAGTATAAATAATTCACCTTCAATATCCTGTCCTGAGCAGGGAATGAGCAAATAAAATAAACAGAATACTGGTGAGTACCTGTAGGGTTTGGGAATGGCATTAAAAATCTCCCTTAAACTAGACATTCTCCTGTTAGTTCACTGCTTGGGAACAGCGTGAGTTCTGAGGTGGGTGGAGTAAAAAGGAAACTTACACAGAGGTAGACGGAGCTGTGTCTTCTAAAGCAAAATCTATTTACTTATCAAACTAGATAAGTTGGCCAATTATGAGATACGAGAGCATCTGTGTGTAGAGCAGGTGGGAACAGAAGCCTGGAAATTATTTTTCCTCATGAACAGCAGTTGTGTGCACGTTGGGGTGTGTGTGTGTGTGTGTGTGTGATGTGTATGTTTGTGTGTGTGCATTTTAAGGCTTAGGATCAGTGCTTGCGTTAACTGTAGCCCAACAGGGGACGTCCCCACCATGAAAAATGGAATACAAGTGTCTCACTCTCTCCCTTTTTTTAGAGACAGGGTCTCACTCTGTTTCCCAGGCTAGAGTGCAGTGGTGCAATCAGTCACAGCTCTCTGCAGCCTCAAATTCCTGGGCTCAAATGATTCTCCCGCCTCAGCCTCCCAAGTAGCTGGGACTATAGGGGCACACCACCATGCCCTGCTGATTTTTGAAATTTTTTGTAGAGATAAGGTCTTGCCTGTGGTGCCCAGGCTGGAGTGCAGTGGTGCGATCGTGGCTCACTGCAGCCTCAAACCCCTGGCCTCAAGTGATCCTCCTGCCTCAGCCTCCTAAAGGGCTGGGATTACAGATATGAGCCCCTGCATCCTGCCTGGTGTCTCACTCTTGAGCAAGAGAGGTGCCTAGCCCCTCCCACCCCCTGGCTTGGTTCTAGAGCATCCTGCTGCTCTGTCTCTGAAGCATGCATCTGCACACGAGCAGGTCTTGGGTTGACCAGGGTGGGGTGTAGGAGGAGACTCTCCTATGGCCTGTGAAAAGGTGAGGGGACTCTGGCCCCAGCCAGCCTGACAGCTTTTGTTCTTAGAAGTTGGCTGGTCAGTGATGTAGGAAGAGTTGACTCAACACATTCTCTTCTGCACCTTGGCATCCTTGAGGTTGACTAGTTGAATGGATTGAAACAAAGTGAATGGGTTTAAGTCCATGAATTCATGATTTGTGAAAAAAGAAGAAAAAAAATCCCTCATTGGTCACCTTTGGAGGATAGTAGGATACCCCCTCATTATTTTGAAAACTGGTCAGTAAAAGGGCAAAAAATTTAAGCATTTATCCTACCTTTCTTACGGCAATGATACATCAGCGTGACCAAACGGTTGATAAGGGGAAGGTCCTTGTTATAGAATTATTCTAGCTAATTAAGGAAGAGGAATGTAGAATTTGAATATCAGCATTTTACATGTCCTAATGAACTAACGGATCTAAGCAATAACCATTAAAGAACGTGAACAACCTCTAAAAACAACACAAACCAAGCACTCTGTGCCCCCCAGTGGAAGGACAGGACACTACACTATGAAATATTCTTGCCAAACCCCAAAAACTGAATGTGATCAACACTAGATCCAACTACTGAGCTACAGAAAATGAAGAGGACAGAAGAACCTGTCAAATGACACCATGGAGATGTCATCATCGAAATCCAGACTGTGGCCTGTAATCCCAGCTCTTTGGGAAGCCAAGGTGGGTGGATCACTTGAGGCCAGGAGTTGGAGACCAGCCTGAGCAACGTGGCAAAATTCCATCTGTACAAAAAATATAAAAATTATCTGTGTGTTGGCATATGCCTGCAGTCCCAGTTACTCTGGAGGCTGAGGTGGGAGGATCACTTGAGCCCAAAACGTTGAGGCTGTATTGATCCATGACTGTGATACTGCACTCTAGCCTGGGGCACAGGGCAAGACCCTGTCTCAATAATAATAATAATCGCAGACTGTGCAGGCTGTGGCTAGCTCTATAGGACAAATAATCCAATTTTTTCATTAAGTGAATTGTAAGGAAAAGAGGGAGAGGGTAATAGGTTAAAGAAGGCAAAGAGACCCAACTGCCCATCACAACATATGGATCTGATTTAGATCCCAAAGCAGATTTTAAAATAATACAAGAAAAAATATCTATGAGACAAATCAGGGAACATTGAACACTGCACATATGATTAAGGAATTATTGTGAATATCTTTAGCTGTGATACTGGTATCGTGCTTATGTTTTTGAGAGATGCATACTGAAATATTTACATATTAAGTGACAGAATGACTGAAATCTGCTTCAAAAGAATCGAGGGCTCATCTAAAGTGGGTAGAGGAACAGATGAAATGAGATTGGCCCTGAATTGAAAATTATTAGGGCTGGGCGTGGTGGCTCATGTTTGTAATCCCAGTACTTTGGGAGACTGAGACCAGAGGATCACCTGAGCCCAGGAGTTCCAGACCAGCCTGGGCAACATAGTGAGACCCTCTGCCTGTACTAAAAATTAAAAAAAAAAATTAACCAGGTGTGATGGCTCGTGCCTGTTGTAGTCTCAGCTACTGGTGGGGCTGAGGCAAAAGGATCACTTGAGTATGGAAGTCTAGGAGGTCAAGGCTGCAGTGAGCCCCGATCACGTTACTGCACTCCAGCTGGGGGAAGAGAGTGAGACCCTGTCTCAAAAATAAAAAAAATGAAGAACTACATTTCCTTTCTGGAAACACACACACAGGCAGATGTGTTCCATGAATCCCAATACCTGGGACAGGGAGAGGCGGGATCTCTGCAGTGTGGGATGATTCTGCGCCTCTGAATGACGCTGAGTGGTCTGGGTGGAACTCTGGAGATTTTCCATCTTCCAGAGCGGAAGTCGGCATGCTTTCCGTAAAGGACCCGACAGTGAATATTTTAGGTCTTTCGGGCCTTATCATCTCGGTCACAGCTACTCAGATCTGCGCTGGTTGCCTGACAGGGGCCAAAGACAATATATAAATAAATGGGTGTGTCCCTGTTCCCACGAAACTTTATTTACAAAAACAGGCAGCAGACTGCATTTGCCCTGAGGCTGCAGTTTGACCAGCCCTGTCCCGTTGCTGGACAACAGAACGTTCTGTGATGACGGAAATGTTATTTCTGTGCCATCCAATATGGGAGCCATTAGTCACATGCAGTTACTGAGCACTTTGGATGGGGTTAGTCGGACTGAGGAACCAGTTTTTAATTTTTATTTAGTTTAAATTAGTTTAACTTTAAAACGTCACATGGAGTTAGTTGCTACCACGTTAGACAGCACAGTTCTAGAGAGCCCAGCCCAGCCATTAAAAAAGAGGAGAGGCGGGGTGCACTGGCTCACGTTTGTAATCTCAGAACTTTGAGAGGCTGAGGCAGGAGGATTGCTTGAGGATGGGAGTTTTAGACCAGCCTGGGCAATATAGCGAGACTCCGACTCTATAAACAAATTTAAAAATCGGCCAAGTGTAGTGGTGTGAGCCTGTAGTCCCAGCTACTCAGGAAGCTGAGGTAGGAGGACTGCTTGAGCCTAGGAGTTCCAGATCAGCCTGGGCAACACAGTGAGACCCTATCTCTACAAAAAGTATAAAAATTAGCCGTGTGTGGTAGCATGCAACTGTAGTCCTAGCTACACCCCACCACAGCCCCCTGCCCAGCCCCATCTGCCCTCCCTGCGGCTGAGCCTGACTGAGAGTGAAGTCCATTAAATCAGTGGCCACCTCGTCTTGCGAAGGGAGGTCATTCTCATCCTGGCTACTCTGGAGGGTGAGACGGGAGGATCACTTGAGCCTGAGAGGCGGAGGTTGCAGTGGGCCAAGATCGTGCCACTGCCACTGCCCAGTGAGCCTGGACAACAGAGTGAGACCATCTCAAAAAAAAAAAAAAAAAAAAAAAAAAAAAAGAGGAAGAGGAGACATAGCCCAGGGGAAAGAAGTGATTTGTCTAAGACATGGCTCCAACCTTTGGGTTCACGCTTCTCCCTACACCACGGTGTGAAGTTGCCTGAACTCCAGAACCATCGAGGAATGAGGCGGGAGACCTGGGCTCTGATCCTCAGGCTGGGACCTGGGGAAAGTCATTCACCTTTAGTGTTCTGCTGTGTCTCCATTTGTATGAGGACCACACCCCAACCTCCTCTCCCCGTTCACCTGTGGGGGCTGCCAGGGGGATCACAGGAGACAAAGTAGGCAGAGGCCCTTTGAAAACTTCAAAGGGTCCCGGGAGTTTCCGGATGTTCTGCATTAATTTATCTAATCCAAGGTAGGAAAGCGAAACGTGGGCTGCGAAAGACGAAAGACGGGAGGGAAGTCGGGTGATTCATTGTTTGGCTGGAACTCTCGCGGGTTAAATCTCTCTTTCAGTGAATTTCCTGGGGAGAATTCAGGGCCCTGTTCCAGCTAACAAATTCATCCCTTTGCTTTGACTCTGAACCAGATTCTGGGATGGTATCAAAGCCAGCCTCCCAGGAGTCGCCTGAGAACTGTCTGGTTCCCGAGCTCTCCGACCCTCCTGCTTCCACTCTGCAGATGCTCCTGCTCCCATCTCCCCGGAGCAGACCCCACCACACACCCCTGCTCAGCCCCATCTGCCCTGCTTGCAGCTGAGCCCGATTGAGAGTGAAATCCTTCATTAAATCCGTGCCCACCTCGTCCTGCAGAGGGAGGTCATTCTCATCCTCATTCTCCTTTCCAGAGAAGGATGTGGGGGCAGGCAGGGAGGGCAAATGCAGGGAGGCATCCTCCTGTCCAGAACTGATTCCCCTTCTGAAAGAAAGAAAGGCAAAGATGTCCCTGAAGGGGACATTAAAACTCTCAACAAGACCCTCAGCCTGGGAGTCTTCTTCCCAAGGCCACGGTCAGGCCTGAGAGGTGTTCTCAAAGACCCGGCGTGAAATCCTTTTCCTAGACAAAGATGATTCCAAGCGGGAAGGGGAGCGGGGGGCCTTGCACAAGGCAAGTAAGTAGCCCTGTGGGATCAAGTTCGTACCGTCTACCCTCCGTCAAACGCTATGCTTGAAACGGTTCATGTTTTTTAAAAGGATGGCACTCTGACTCCCTCCATTCCGCTCTGCCCCATGATGTAATTTAGAAATCACGAGAGCTCCCAAAAAAAAAAACAACGAAAAAAACCAACAACAAAAATCCCCAGCAAGATGTGCTCAGAGACCTTCATCTGCAAATGTTTTTGCCAGATGCTGAGAACCTAGGCAGAATCCGGAGCAGTTTTTATAGGGATTTGATGTTTTGTTGTTGTTGTTGTTGTTGTTGTTTTTTGAGACAGAGTCTCGCTCTGTCGCCCAGGCTGGAGTGCAGTGGCCGGATATCAGCTCACTGCAAGCTCCGCCTCCCGGGTTCACGCCATTCTCCTGCCTCAGCCTCCCGAGTAGCTGGGACTACAGGCACCCACCACGTTGCCTGGCTAGTTTTTTTTTTTTGTTTTTTTTTTTTTTTTAGTAGAGATGGGATGTTTAACTCACCACGGAGAGGTCCCTGAACTCTCCCTGGAGAAAAAGGAAGTCGATGGAATTGTTTGTAGGGAGAAAACTACAGCATGATGTTGGAGGGATCGGGGATCCTCCTTCAAGGGTTCAGGGGGCTCTGGGTGAGGGCCTTTCTGGACGGTTTCTTCCCTTGGCAACAGGAAGCCAGGATCACAGAGGAAAAGGGTCCAGCCCAGACTTGGAGCTGGCCCCTTTGGAGGAGCCCTAGGGGGTATCTGTTAAACAGGAGCAGGTGAGCCTGTGTTACAGGACCCGATCCGGACCCCAAGAGGGGGTTCTTGGACCTCATGCAAGAAAGAATTCGGGGCGAGTCCACGGAGTAAAGCGAAATCAACTTTATGAGGAAAGTAAAGGAATAAAAGAATGGCTATTCCGCAGACAGAGCAGCCCCGAGGGCTGCTGGTTGCCCGTTTTTATGGTTATTTCTTGATGATATGCTAAAGGAGGGGTGGATTATTCATGCCTCTAACTTTTAGATCACATAGGGGAACTTCCTGACGTTGCCATGGCATCTGTAAACTGTCACGGCGCTGGTGGGAGTGTAGCCGTGAGGGTGACCAGAGGTCACTCTGGTGGCTGTGTTGGGTTTGCTGGGGTATTGCCAGCTTCTTTACTGCAACCTGTTTTATCAGCAAGGTCTTTAGCACCTGTATCTATCGCCGACCTCCTATCTCATCCTGTGACTTAGAATACCTTAACCGTCTGGGAATGTTGCCCAGAAGGTCTCGGCCTCATTCTACCCAGCTCCTCTTCAAGATGGAGTTGCTCTGGTTCAAATGCCTCTGACATCGGGGTGGCGGGGTTGCCCTGCCTGGCTTCTTAACTTCCTGGCTCAGAACCCAAACCTGTTGCCTCTGGCTACCCGGCCAGTGGGACTGTGACAGCTGGGACAGGAGAGCCACTCAGCTTATAAACACCTGTGAGCAGGTATCCAGTAGCTAGGGGGAGAAGCGGTGGGTAGCCACAGGGCTTTCCCACTTAGGCAGGAAAGGACTGGCTTCCCCACCCACCCCACCCGCACCACCACTTTCTGGAACTTTCCTTAAACAACTGCTGGGCTGTTGCTATTTGCTGCTTCCCTTCTTTTCTTGTTAAAACATTTTATATTTTAAATTTGTTTGCAGACCATTTCCAGAAAAAAAAATAATATGTGTGTGGGCCACATTTGTCATCTTGCAAATCGTATTTATTTTTTATTATTAGAGATTGCAACGTGTGCCTCACCGTGCCTTTTTCTTCTTAGTAAAACTAAACAGTTTAGTTTAATTTGGCTACTTAAAAAACACATAACTCACATATCTGAGGCACTTAGAGTTACCAAAGTCATAGAGATGGAAAGTAGAAAATAGGTTACCAGGAGCTGGGAGGAGGGTGCCATGGTTCATACTGAGTGTCAACTCGATTGGATTGAAGGATACAAAGTATCGACCCTTGTGTGTCTGTGAGGATGTTGCCAAAAGAGATGAACATTTGAGTCAGTGGCTGGGAAAGGCCGACCCACTCTTAATCTGGGTGGGCACCATCTAATCAGCTGCCAGCATGGCTAGAATAAGAGCAGGCAGAAAAATGTGAAAGGAGAGACTGGCCTAGCCTCCCAGCCTCCATCTTTCTCCCGTGCTGGATTCTTCCTGCCCGCCAAGTTCTTCAGTTTTGGAACTTGGACTGACTCTTCTTGTTCCTCAGCCTGCAGACAGCCTATTGTGGGACCCTGGGATTGTGTGAGTTAACACTTAATAAACTCCCCTTATATATATTCCATTAGCTTGCTCCCTCTAGAGAACCCTGGCTAACACAGAAGGGGAGATGAGAGGTGGCTGAAGGGGGACAGAGTTTCAGTTTGGGAAGATGAAAACATTCTGGAGGTGGATGGTGGTGATGGTTGCCCAACACTGGATGAGTTTAATGCCACTCAAATGTGCACTTAGAAATGGTTACAATGGGCCAGGCACAGTGGCTTATGCCTGTAGTCCCAGCTACTCAGGAGGCTGAGGCGGGAGGATTGCTGGAACCCAGGAGTTCGAGGCTGCAGTGAGTTATGATTGCATCACTGCACTGCAGCCTGGGTAACAGAGCAGGATCCTGTCTCTTAGAAAATGGAAATAATAATAATAATAATAATATAAAGAAGAAATTATTAAAATGGTAGATTTTATGTTATGTATATTTTAGCACAATTAAAAAGAGCATAAACATAACCAGTAGGCATTTTGGTGCCTTATTAAGATGCTGTGTGTTTAAGCTTTTGTGAGGCTGGTGTGTGTGTGTGGGTGTGCATGTGGGCATGTGTGTTTGTTGTTGCTGTGTTTTATTTTCCCTGGCTGACTTGGTGAGCTCTTCATTGAAAAATCAGTCTTTCCAAGCCCATTAATATATTCTTTAAGTCTGAGGGAGAAATTATCTTTTTTAACATTGTATTTTTTAAAAGGAAATTTTTCATGGCTTTCATGAGCTGGACAGCCAAAATTCACACAGGGGCTCTTTGGACCACTCTCCTTTATTTTTTTTGAAATAGAGTCTTGCTTTGTTGCCCAGGCTAGAGTACAGTGGCATGATCTCAGCTCACTGCAACCTCCACCTCCTGGATTCAAGTGATTCTCCTACCTCAGCCTCCTGAGTAGCTGGGATTACAAGCACCTGCCACCACACGTGGCTAATTTTTGTATTTTTAGTAGAGATGGGATTTCTCCATGTGGGCTTGAACTCCTGACCTCAGGTGATCCACCCGCCTCGGCCTCCCAAAGTGCTGGGATTACAGGTGCGAGCCACCGCGCCTGGCTGCTGGACCACTCTCCTTGAAACAGTTTTGTTCAATCCCTTTTCTCCTCTTGGCAGC